AATGTGGAGTTTTCAGAACAATGTATTTCAACAAGTTTCTTTCACAAAATAGAAAAAGTGGTGATGAAAACCGTTAACTGTACACATATATATTAAGGTTAGGTAGATAAATACCTGCGATAAAGTGAAATTTTTAAAGATTTGAGTCCGTACAATTTTTTAATTAAAAACATGTTTATGAATACAAGTTATTGACTAGGTCAACCCCAACAGTCTGATTATCACATAGTACATTTGCTAATCATTGTAGAACTCTTGTACTTTTGCTTGCGTGCATGGGTTGTAATGTATTGACGTTCCGTTCTACCAGAAGATGTACAAGGAGAAAGAAGTGGTTGAATCGGATGTTTAGTATCAGATAAAATAACACCTACCTGGAGTTTGCAAGACTTTAGTAGTTTGTCCACAATCATATTAATAATGACTACAAAATATTCGCCATGCACCTTTCTAACTACCTACAGCTATCTCCGTAATACAGCAGTTTTTCTCAAAAGCCTGAGAAATAATGATGGAAAACGGTAAAGAATAACAGATTATACACAAGAGTTGACAAATCATAAGAGTAAATGTTGAGTAATCTCAAAGGAATGCATCATCGTTACGTCATAATCCAGAAGGGAAACGTTCTTTGATAGCAGTAAAACATGAGAAGACGAAGAGATAATATCAGAAAAAGTTATGCCAAGATAATTGACCATGGAAACTGTGATTATCGAAGAATCCCCAATAGTACAAGCGATTTTCAGTCCGGATGGCATCCTTAGAAACTCAAACAAACCAAGAAGTGTGATTATGGCTGTTTTTCAATGTCTTCCGGTGCTATCGGAATTCGATGATATGCTCGCACTAGGTAGAGTTTCGAAAAAATGCGTTTACCGTATAATTTTAGTGAAAAGTCATGTATATGTGGAATTGGGTACTTATCAGGAATGGTTTGATTGTTCAATGGTCAGTAGTCACCACACGGATGCCAGTCTTGGTCTTTTTTCGGTACCCTATATAGTGGCGAGGCCCAAGGGCTGTTAGATGGCCCAATAATACCAAGTTGCATTATATGTTCGAATTCCTTCTTAGCCGCCTGCAACTTGTTTGGGGGTAGTCTCCTCGCCCTGGCGCAAATAGGGGGCTGGTGGTAGTGATGTGATGTCGCACCTGCTATCAGTTGCATTCCTCTTGGTAATCCGCTTTCGTAATGCACTCGTGTTCTATCAGATTGTCGTTGAAAACGCTGTTCGCATGTTTCATTGTTCGTACATCATAGATTTCATAGTCGGTGGAAAGTGTACTATTTACCTGTAAACGTGTATTTACATCGGTTAGTCTCTTCTTAGTCATGTCCACTATTAAGCTGTAGGCACTGAGGAAATCTGCTCCGAGGATGGGTTGTTTGACATGCGCAACTTTGAAAACTCATGTGAATCGTCTGTGGAGTCCGAGGTCTAATATGAGTGATTGTTCTCCGTACGTTTTGATGATTGACTCGTTAGCCGCTATGAGAGTCAGCTTCGTGTTTGTTGTTTGTTGTCTTCGGAAGAGATGAAGCGGGATAATGCTGATTTCTGCCCCTGTGTCGACTAAGAAGTCCGAGCCAGAAATACGATCCCTGACGTGAAAGAGGCGGCTAACGTGTTGATCAGTAACAGACTCCGCCATTACTGTCTGGCCGGTTTCCTTGATGTTCTTGTCTGTTTGTTGTAAAACTGCACGGTTGAATGCAACGACGTGCTTTACCACCATATTTCGAGTGGTACCAGCAAATGCCAGTTACCTGCTTGGAGGAACTGGAGCGATGTCTAGACAGCAATCTTTTTCTGACAATGGATTTATGCGGTCGGGACTGTATGCTCGCAATAGTAGCTTGTAGCGATGTAATTGAGTTGTGAATTGAGTCAGTTGTTGCTGGATGTCAAGGGATGTATTCGTAAAATCTTTACTAGACGTTCGTATGGCGCTTAGCCTCTGACGTCAGGATAAATTTCCATCATTTTATCCGCTATATCGGCTAAATCATCAAGATTGGCCGAGGCTGAGAATTTGTCTGACATTATGTGGCAACCGTTGGAACCACATTTGTTTAAGTAGTGCTTCTTCATGTTTGTAGGGACCGGCTAGCTGTTTCATGTGTCGGAGTGACTGTGAAGGTCTCTTTATCCCCTAGCTCGCATGAGGTAAGCAGTTGCTGTAGACGTTTTTCGTCTGAAAGTGATGTGCGTTGAATTACTGCCGCTTTGATCTTGTCGTAGGGGTCGGTTTTAGGTACGTTGTCGATCAGGTCGCCAACTTCCGTTGCTATTTCAATAGGTAATGCACCAACGACGTGAGCATATTTGGTCGCTTTAGAGAGTATACCTCTCGCTAAAAAATAGTGCTTCTACCTATGCGAACCAAATTCTAGGGTTGGTAATGCAGTAAGTCGGTAGTCTTAACTCAGAAATAGTATTGATTGAGCTCAAAATATTATCCTATGGCTGTGATGAATTAAGAGGATTGGTTGGTGGGCTATCCATATCGACAAGCTTACTGGGAGAGTACATGGTTTAGAAAAAAACAAAATGGACTAGTGTATCAAGTAAAAAAATGTAAACAGTATAACATCTATAATGGATTCAAAAGCTCACCTGATAATTGTGGTGGACCAGACAATGTATGAACGTAAAAAGTATGAACAATGTTATTAAAGATCAATAGTAACGTTAATATATATATATATATATATATATATATATATATATATATAAGTTAATTGTTACCAATACAACAGAAAATAGGGACTTTACTTAAATTCACCAAATTGATGTGTTCGGCTTTGGTCTGGCGCTGATGATTCACAATCATAAATGTTTGGTAATTCCAATCACGTTGATGAACTCCTCAGTAGTGTAATCCAACGCAAGGTATGATATATTCCTAATCACAGTCTATAAATGCAGATAATATTCGGTTTAGGTTTCTGTTAACGCAATCACAAACGAAAGTAGAACGAGGGCTATATATGCAGCGATGTGTTTGTTAGGAATCAACAGTATGTCATGCTATGTAAGTTACACAACGGAAAGTGTGTTCAAGATCATTCACTTAAACAACACGTACAGTCATTTAATAATAAATGTACATACAGTGAAAAATTGACAAAATAAATACAAATAACATTAAAAACTATTTACAAAATTAGCTTGTCAGGCATATCTCCACTAATGCATGTAACCCACACATTAAAAACGACTTATTGATTTTGCGTCTTATGAGTAATAACAATAGAGACTTAACTAGTTACATCAGAGTTTGCCAAGTCATTTACAATATTACTTGTTTCAAGCTAGCAGAACTATTGTGGCCTTAGCTTGATAGATCCTTGAGCATGTGTATCGACAATTTGTATGACACATTTCAGATATGACAACACTACTACTTTGCTAAGGCTAAACAGAACCAACTGCACCTTTAGATCCTTTGATAACATGTCGTGACAGAGCTTTATGGATTCTCATCCAAAATTATGAAGTCCTACCTCTCAAGTACGATTTATTGAGTTCATGCTCAGTAATATATCCGTATAATCTGCCCACTAAGGAAACATGACTTGCTAAATAGGCTGATATCGTGCTGTAAGTGTCGAGACGTGTGGGAATAATATATACGACCACGGAAACGGACCAAAAAGTCTGAATTTTAGCTGTTGTCAACCTGAGATTATGAAATATAATATTTCCAGCATGACAGATAATATAACAAAATAACTTCAGGGTTTAATTTACTTTAATTTCGTATCTACCATCCGTCCCAATAAACGTCAATGGTTTCCGATGACTACCTCTCGACTAGTTTATGATGTCTTCAACCCCTAAGTTCCCTGAAATTATCGTGATGATAATGTTAGTACCTTGTTCCTAATATAAGAGCGCTTCTTAGTTTCCGTATGGTCAAAAACAACCCAAGGTGTGCTAGTTGGTTTGATTGTCCCATATTCCCACAAATAAATGGTCAGAGATTATCAGCATGCGGTCGCTCAATAGTGAGACCTCTAAACTTTCCTAAAAATGTGTTGTAAGGTTCGATCTTCCATAATAGGAATTTCAAAGGCTAGATATGCCCTTTTTTGTTCGTCTTGAGAATACAGTCATTAATCATGGGAGTTTTGCTACAAACTTTGATCAGGTGATGGAAACAGTTTTAGTTCATCTGATTCAGCAGCTGAAAATCGTCAGATTTAATACAATGTTTAGAACGTCATTTCAAAGGCGATCCATTAACTTGTTGCGTATTTACTACCGGATCAATATTAAACTGTAAGAAATCATTGTGGATGATCAATGTCAATGGCAGGTCTACTCGATCAGCGGGAATAGTGCAACCTCTGAGAATATTTCAAAGCAATACTCCGCGGTTAATATCCAACCCGGTTTGTTCTGTCGCGATAAACATGTATATCGTTCTTATTGGTGACTGTCTATAAAAAATAAGGTCTTAAGAGAACAGCTGCATTTACTAAGAGCAAATCAGAGGGGTGTGTATTAAAAAGATTGTTGCATAGGTTAGTCTGTTGAGTTTCACTGATTAATCCGTGTTGAGTACCTTTGACCCTGACATTCAGTGATCTGCTGTCTAAAGTAGAACCGGTTAGGTTTGATGGATGATATGTCTATGGCTTAGTGAAATAACGAAAATATGATCATTTCCCGGAAAAGAGGATCTTATACTGTGAACATATTCAAAATGAGATAACACCTGTTAGTTTTACATATCTCACACATAATAAATGATATTTCACGGGAATGTTCGGTAGACGTGTGCCTTATTGCTGATTCTATGGATTCATGAAACATATAGGGATAAAACCTTTTGTACCCAGTTAAAATGTGGGTTTCTTGAAAGAAATTGTTTAAACGGTTAAAAATTGTTCGGTAACACTTTTGTGGAGTTCTGTGATTGGCCGCTATTTACGTATATAAACCTTGCGATCATGATTTGACTAACGCGACACGATTCTGTCTATCGAGATGCTCTCTGTTTTGGTGGTTTTGTTGCTGTCAGAATACGCTCTGGGACATGAAGTTTGGTTTTCGGAAACATTTCCTAATGGTAACTCTTTGATCAATAGTTATTATTTTGTTGATAATTTCAGAATCTATTGAGAATTGGGTGCAATCAACATATAATGCCGAGAAGCAAGGAGAATTCAAAGTAGAAGCTGGGAAATCTCCAGTTGACCCAATTGAGGATTTGGGCTTGAAAACAACTCAAGATGCCAGATTTTATGGTATTGCACGTAAGATCTCTGAACCGTTCAGCAACCGTGACAAAACAATGGTTCTCCAATTTACTGTCAAGTTTGATAAAACTGTCAGCTGCGGAGGAGCTTATATTAAACTTCTTGGTTCAGATATTGATCCTAAAAACTTTCATGGCGAAACGCCTTACAAGATCATGTTTGGTAAAGCTCTTGTTCACTTGGTAATTTTGTTACAGGTCCTGATATTTGCGGCATGGCCACAAAGAAAATCCATGTTATTTTCAACTATAAAGGAAAAAATCACCTGATTAAAAAAGAAATACCCTGCAAAGATGACCAAAAAACTCATATGTACACACTAATTGTGAATCCAAACAACAAATACGAAGTTTTAGTTGATAACGAAAAAGTGGAAGAAGGTTCATTAGAAGATGATTGGGATATGCTTCCACCCAAAAAGATTGACGTAGGATTGTTGAATATAATTTATGTTTTTTATAGGACCCAAATGATAAGAAGCCTGATGACTGGGTTGACGAGCAATTTATCGATGATCCGGATGACAAGAAACCTGATAATTGGGATCAGCCTAAAACGATACCTGATATGGATGCCAAAAAGCCAGATGATTGGGATGATGCTATGGATGGTGAGTGGGAACGTCCCCAAAAAGACAATCCTGAATATAAAGGTGAATGGACACCAAGACGTATCGATAATCCAAAATACAAAGGAGAATGGAAACCCATACAGATTGACAATCCAGAATACAAACATGATCCTGAATTGTATATTCTGAACGACATTGGTTATGTCGGCTTTGATCTGTGGCAAGTCGATTCAGGATCAATCTTCGACAACATTTTAATTACTGACAGTCCGGATTTCGCTAAGCAAGAAGGCGAGCGACTTTGGCGAAAACGATACGATGCTGAAGTTGCTAAGGAACAGTCAAGTGCGAAAGGTGACAATAAAGAGGAGGCTGAAGAAACAAAAGAACCGGAAGAGCTTCCAGGCGATTCAAAATCGTCAGACGAGCCATCTGGTGACCACGATGAACTGTAAAATGTGATGTTAGTTGTGGTGAGAATACTATTTGTTTTTTTAAGGTTAGGATTCTGTGCTCCAAATCTGTACATTTATCATTTTTTCTGATTAATATAAATTGTTGTGACTATATTATTGTACTTTTTCTAATATACCGTGAGGATTTCTACTGGGTTTGCCCTTAGATTTATCCTATTCGTATGTTGAGACTACAGAAAGGAAAGCGTGTCAGTTTCACATTCTGATTAGTACGAAAATCCGGCAGAGATGTTACTCCACAGCCTGAATGTCTTGCTCCTCACATTCAACCTTGGCAGTGTGGCGAAAGCATCTGGTCAAAGCTGACTTGCAGTTGCAAAGTTTGCGTAGCACGGCGTCCCCACTGATCATCTGGCATGGATGCTTGACCGAACAACTTCAGCTAGGTGCGTCCAGTAAAATTAGTGAGGTCCGCATTAGTGTCGAAGACATGAAGAACTATTTATTTTGGGGATTTATCTACCTTTACAGTCTTGTTGCCTGTCATCTCATTTATTTTTCAGTTTTTAGTAATAAGAATAGTAGGTCGGTGGACTTGTGTTAATCCATGCAGCTTATTTTCCAATGAAAGCTTGAGCCTCTCTCTAAAAGTGCTCACTGAGCAGCCTGATACTACGTGTTTGAGTGAGGTGTTCCAGTAATAGACCACTCGACGATAAAAGAGGATCGCTACTCTGAGTTTACGAGATCGAGGTGTTTGAACCTTCTTACTACGGCCTCTGAGATGAGTAGTCGTAGTGGAAGCAGAAAGGTAAGACATGTTGACACCAAAATCGTCATTAAGGATACGGAATACCAATATGAGGTCACCTCATGTTCTGCGATACAATGGGAAAAGATTCAGGCGCTTGAATTATGCGTCTTGAGGGAGTTTGAAAAATACTCAATAACCATGCTGCATTGGTACGGCATACTGGTGAGCGCCACCATGTTTGATGTGTAGTGGCACACTTTTTAAAACCAATTTCTAAGTACCAACTTCGAGACCATCTAACATACTCGTCTAGGCTAGATTAGAGATCGACATGATCGACCTCACTACCTATTGTTCTTCATTTTTTGACACCATCTGTAGACAATAATATCGAAAACAGTCGTGGTTATTCGCTAACGTAGAGAAGAAAAAGTAGCGAGTCTAAGATGGTGCCTTAGTGAACATTATTCTTGACATGCTTCCATTGGGACTTTGTCCCTCACCCTCTGTCTCCAGCCATAGTGGAAGTTTATAACCATTCCTGTGCAGCACCTATTATTCCCAAGCTCGAGATCTTCTCTATAATACCGGAGTGAGAAGCCTTTCGAAATGTTTCACTAAGGTTCCCGAATGCCCTGATACGTACGGGAATGGAACTTGAAAGCGAAGGTCCAGTGTTCCAACCGGGTTGGTGGGTATGGACGATCCACCTTGGGAGGTTGGAAAACCCTGGTTCCAAATCAATGATGCACACAGGCTCCTGAGGGAACAAATAGCGTATGGGCCAATTGTTGATCACCGACTGCCGTTGGCTGCATCTAACATTACTTCACTGCCTTTTGGACCAGAACTCTAGGTCATAGGCTCGAGGAGTGGCTCCCTAAGAAGACCATCTGCTCAAGTGTGGGTATCCGTGCATTATTTCAGCCCTCACACAAATCAATTGATTTGTGTGGCGCAAACATAACAATGTGAATGGGTTTAAATAAATAAACTATAAATGAATGTCACATCGACAGACACACCGTTATCTAGGGCTTCTGTCCGATCCTCTCTTGTAATAGGTTGGTCAAGCATGAGTGCATGTTTCGAAATGCAAGTTGCTCGGTAGCCAACAGATTGTATGATTCTACGTGACTCATCTTTTCAAGCAACTTAACCACTATTCTGTTTAGACTGACAGGTCGGCAGTTAAATACGATCTGTCTCTGACCATCTTCAAATATAGGGCTAACTATAGTATTTTGTAATCTCAAGGATGTTGAGTGCAGGTAAGGGACATTTTGAAGAACATCATGAGCGATATTGAAACAGTGTCTGTGTGAGAAGACGGAGATTTTGGATGTGAACTATCAAGCCCCGGTCAATTACTGGGTTTGAGTATAAAGAGCGATGGAACAACAGATTCCTCAATTACATGTACAGATACTGTGGCTTGTATCTCTTTGGTTTGGTTATGACAAGTATCGTTAATAATACCCTCAGAAAAGGCTTTTCTAAAGTGGTTAGGTAGTCTCAGATTTGATCAGATCGACAAGTTTATTTGAAATTTCGTGCAATAGCGACGGAAGAATTATTATTATTCAATAGTATGTGCTTGATACAATGTGGAGTTTTCAGAACAATGTATTTCAACAAGTTTCTTTCACAAAATAGAAAAAGTGGTGATGAAAACCGTTAACTGTACACATATATATTAAGGTTAGGTAGATAAATACCTGCGATAAAGTGAAATTTTTAAAGATTTGAGTCCGTACAATTTTTTAATTAAAAACATGTTTATGAATACAAGTTATTGACTAGGTCAACCCCAACAGTCTGATTATCACATAGTACATTTGCTAATCATTGTAGAACTCTTGTACTTTTGCTTGCGTGCATGGGTTGTAATGTATTGACGTTCCGTTCTACCAGAAGATGTACAAGGAGAAAGAAGTGGTTGAATCGGATGTTTAGTATCAGATAAAATAACACCTACCTGGAGTTTGCAAGACTTTAGTAGTTTGTCCACAATCATATTAATAATGACTACAAAATATTCGCCATGCACCTTTCTAACTACCTACAGCTATCTCCGTAATACAGCAGTTTTTCTCAAAAGCCTGAGAAATAATGATGGAAAACGGTAAAGAATAACAGATTATACACAAGAGTTGACAAATCATAAGAGTAAATGTTGAGTAATCTCAAAGGAATGCATCATCGTTACGTCATAATCCAGAAGGGAAACGTTCTTTGATAGCAGTAAAACATGAGAAGACGAAGAGATAATATCAGAAAAAGTTATGCCAAGATAATTGACCATGGAAACTGTGATTATCGAAGAATCCCCAATAGTACAAGCGATTTTCAGTCCGGATGGCATCCTTAGAAACTCAAACAAACCAAGAAGTGTGATTATGGCTGTTTTTCAATGTCTTCCGGTGCTATCGGAATTTGATGATATGCTCGCACTAGGTAGAGTTTCGAAAAAATGCGTTTACCGTATAATTTTAGTGAAAAGTCATGTATATGTGGAATTGGGTACTTATCAGGAATGGTTTGATTGTTCAATGGTCAGTAGTCACCACACGGATGCCAGTCTTGGTCTTTTTTCGGTACCCTATATAGTGGCGAGGCCCAAGGGCTGTTAGATGGCCCAATAATACCAAGTTGCATTATATGTTCGAATTCCTTCTTAGCCGCCTGCAACTTGTTTGGGGGTAGTCTCCTCGCCCTGGCGCAAATAGGGGGCTGGTGGTAGTGATGTGATGTCGCACCTGCTATCAGTTGCATTCCTCTTGGTAATCTGCTTTCGTAATGCACTCGTGTTCTATCAGATTGTCGTTGAAAACGCTGTTCGCATGTTTCATTGTTCGTACATCATAGATTTCATAGTCGGTGGAAAGTGTACTATTTACCTGTAAACGTGTATTTACATCGGTTAGTCTCTTCTTAGTCATGTCCACTATTAAGCTGTAGGCACTGAGGAAATCTGCTCCGAGGATGGGTTGTTTGACATGCGCAACTTTGAAAACTCATGTGAATCGTCTGTGGAGTCCGAGGTCTAATATGAGTGATTGTTCTCCGTACGTTTTGATGATTGACTCGTTAGCCGCTATGAGAGTCAGCTTCGTGTTTGTTGTTTGTTGTCTTCGGAAGAGATGAAGCGGGATAATGCTGATTTCTGCCCCTGTGTCGACTAAGAAGTCCGAGCCAGAAATACGATCCCTGACGTGAAAGAGGCGGCTAACGTGTTGGTCAGTAACAGACTCCGCCATTACTGTCTGGCCGGTTTCCTTGATGTTCTTGTCTGTTTGTTGTAAAACTGCACGGTTGAATGCAACGACGTGCTTTACCACCATATTTCGAGTGGTACCAGCAAATGCCAGTTACCTGCTTGGAGGAACTGGAGCGATGTCTAGACAGCAATCTTTTTCTGACAATGGATTTATGCGGTCGGGACTGTATGCTCGCAATAGTAGCTTGTAGCGATGTAATTGAGTTGTGAATTGAGTCAGTTGTTGCTGGATGTCAAGGGATGTATTCGTAAAATCTTTACTAGACGTTCGTATGGCGCTTAGCCTCTGACGTCAGGATAAATTTCCATCATTTTATCCGCTATATCGGCTAAATCATCAAGATTGGCCGAGGCTGAGAATTTGTCTGACATTATGTGGCAACCGTTGGAACCACATTTGTTTAAGTAGTGCTTCTTCATGTTTGTAGGGGCCGGCTAGCTGTTTCATGTGTCGGAGTGACTGTGAAGGTCTCTTTATCCCCTAGCTCGCATGAGGTAAGCAGTTGCTGTAGACGTTTTTCGTCTGAAAGTGATGTGCGTTGAATTACTGCCGCTTTGATCTTGTCGTAGGGGTCGGTTTTAGGTACGTTGTCGATCAGGTCGCCAACTTCCGTTGCTATTTCAATAGGTAATGCACCAACGACGTGAGCATATTTGGTCGCTTTAGAGAGTATACCTCTCGCTAAAAAATAGTGCTTCTACCTATGCGAACCAAATTCTAGGGTTGGTAATGCAGTAAGTCGGTAGTCTTAACTCAGAAATAGTATTGATTGAGCTCAAAATATTATCCTATGGCTGTGATGAATTAAGAGGATTGGTTGGTGGGCTATCCATATCGACAAGCTTACTGGGAGAGTACATGGTTTAGAAAAAAACAAAATGGACTAGTGTATCAAGTAAAAAAATGTAAACAGTATAACATCTAT